GCTCGTGGTACTGCAGGAAATGGTGTAGGAGACTGAAGGAAGGCGCTCGTGGTACTGCAGGAAATGGTGTAGGAGACTGAAGGAAGGCGCTCGTGGTACTGCAGGAAATGGTGTAGGAGACTGATGGAAGACTCTCATTTATTCATACACCCGCCATGTCTGTATTAACTGTTTTAATATTCAGCATTTTATACAGCCCCAGTATCCAGATTGCTGGCGGTCACTACAGCTTTTAACACTGATGTGTAATGCGTGTATTATTATTTTTTTGCCCATAAAAGCTTGCTTTTTCCCGTAAGCAGATGCTATTTGAAGTCATTAACAATCTCCCATCTTAATGGTGGTGGGGGGCGGGATTATGAGAGTATCTGTTCGAGTGACCAGCCACATTAATTCTAGTGACTGGCAGCATTAATGTATTCCCGTACGCTCAGCGACGTGGTGTGGAGAACCTGAAACATCAGATGCACCCACATTAATCTCTTAGTCAAACATATGTCTGATCGTTTTAAGATGAGGATTATAGTTCATTCAAAGATAGTTAAAAGGAGTCATATTATTTATTACTATTATTATTATTTATTATCAATAGATGTAGTTTTTGAATCTCACAGCAGACTGTTGTAGCGACTGTTACTTTTATTTTCATTTGTTTAGTATCACAACGCAATGTACTAGTGTAGTTCTAGAGATTAGGATCAGATGGTTTAAAGGCCTTGGTCAAGGGCCTAAAACTTACATCAGTCTGCAAGTCTTGGGATTTGAATTGGCAACCTTCTGATCAGGGACGCAGAGTCGTACAGCCACACATGGCCCCTTACAGGTATATCTGCTGACGGTTTTGTCGTCATTCCCGCTAATAATGGCTGCCCCTCTGTGCGCCCGCTCACGTCAGGGTGTTGAAAGATGGCAGTATGGATCCAGGCACAGCAGCTGCAGGGGGACGCACTCCACCAGATGCAGTCCCTCTACGGGCAGCACTTCCCCATCGAGGTGCGCCACTACCTGTCCCAGTGGATCGAAAGCCAGCCATGGTATGTCCCGTCGCTGCCCCTGTCCATTCTTCGTAGTCACTCTAGATCAGTGTTCCCCAATCCGGTCCTCAGGGTCCCACGTATGGTTCACGTTTTTGCTCCCTGCCAGACAGTCCACTGCAGGAGCTGAGAGGGAGCAAAAATGTGGACTGTCCGCAGGACCCCGAGGACCGGATTGGGAAACACTGCTCTAGACTATAACTGTAACTCCCAGTGAATGATCTTGTTCGCTAGACAAGAAAGGGCTGGAACTAACAAATGTTTAGATTCTCTGAGCTCACAAAAGGGAAGAATGTGAAGGACACCAACCATATGTAGTTTTTCCCGGGTCGACCACCTGTCAGATTCTTGATGCATTAACCGAGTGTTGAAGGTAGAGATGTCATCACAGTCAGGAGACATACATACATACATACATACATACATACATACATACATACATACATACATACATACACACACACACACACACACACACACACACACACACATACACACACACTCACCTAAAGGATTATTAGGAACACCTGTTCAATTTCTCATTAATGCAATTATCTAATCAACCAATCACATGGCAGTTGCTTCAATGCATTTAGGGGTGTGGTCCTGGTCAAGACAATCTCCTGAACTCCAAACTGAATGTCAGAATGGGAAAGAAAGGTGATTTAAGCAATTTTGAGCGTGGCATGGTTGATGGTGCCAGACTGGCCGGTCTGAGTATTTCACAATCTGCTCAGTTACTGGGATTTTCACGCACAACCATTTCTAGGGTTTACAAAGAATGGTGTGCAAAGGGAAAAACATCCAGTATGCGGCAGTCCTGTGGGCGAAAATGCCTTGTTGATGCTAGAGGTCAGAGGAGAATGGGCCGACTGATTCAAGCTGATAGAAGAGCAACTTTGACTGAAATAACCACTCGTTACAACCGAGGTATGCAGCAAAGCATTTGTGAAGCCACAACACGCACAACCTTGAGGCGGATGGGCTACAACAGCAGAAGACCCCACCGGGCACCACTCATCTCCACTACAAATAGGAAAAAGAGGCTACAATTTGCACGAGCTCACCAAAATTGGACAGTTGAAGACTGGAAAAATGTTGCCTGGTCTGATGAGTCTCGATTTCTGTTGAGACATTCAAATGGTAGAGTCAGAATTTGGCGTAAACAGAATGAGAACATGGATCCATCATGCCTTGTTACCACTGTGCAGGCTGCTGGTGGTGGTGTAATGGTGTGGGGGATGTTTTCTTGGCACACTTTAGGCCCCTTAGTGCCAATTGGGCATCGTTTAAATGCCACGGCCTACCTGAGCATTGTTTCTGACCATGTCCATCCCTTTATGACCACCATGTACCCATCCTCTGATGGCTACTTCCAGCAGGATAAAGCACCATGTCACAAAACTCAAATCATTTCAAATTGGTTTCTTGAACATGACAATGAGTTCACTGTACTAAAATGGCCCCCACAGTCAATAGAGCATCTTTGGGATGTGGTGGAACGGGAGCTTCGTGCCCTGGATGTGCATCCCACAAATCTCCATCAACTGCAAGATGCTATCCTATCAATATGGGTTAACATTTCTAAAGAATGCTTTCGGCACCTTGTTGAATCAATGCCACATAGAATTAAGGCAGTTCTGAAGGCAAAAGGGGGTCAAACACCGTATTAGTATGGTGTTCCTAATAATCCTTTAGGTGAGTGTACATACATACATACATGCATACATACAGACATACAGACATACATACAGACATACATACAGACATACATACAGACATACAGATAGACATACAGACAGACATACATACATACATACATACATACATACATACATACATACATACATACTCATTTTTTTTTGGCAGAATGGTCTTGCGTGTGTTTTGAAGGTTTTGTGTATGTGCTTCTTTTTTTCCCACCATTTATACCAGGGATTCTGTTGACCTTGAGAATCCCCAAGAGGAGTTTAAGGCCAAGCGTCTGCTGGACAGCCTGGTCCAGGAGCTTCAGAAGAAGGCAGACCACCAGGTTGGTGAGGACGGCTTTCTGCTGAAGATCAAGCTGGGTCACTATGCCAGTCAATTGAAGGTGAGCCATTTTCCATCCTGGTTAGCACTCTGAAATCTTCAAAGCCAATCTGGCAAAAACATGCACTTCTGAAAATGTCTTTATTTTAAAATCAGAACCGTGTAGGAGGAACTTTTCCATTTTTTTTGTCTGTTTTTGTCAAAATATATGACAGGTGGCATCAAAGAGCAGAAAAAGATGACAACATTGATGTCTTTACAGATGCATTTAGGCATAGCAACTATGTATTGTGATAACTTGTATCTAAGTTTTCATTTGCTATTTTTTTGTTATTCTGACTCTCTTAATGTAGCTGACTCTGGGAGATCCATCAATGTGAATACAAACCCACTAATTCAATACCGATTCAAGGAATTTGTGTGACCATCCAAACATGATCTTAGTGAAGAAACTGTGGGACATTCGTGGTCAGAGGTGATATTTAGTTTGTGCTCCATAAATTAGACACGCTTATGAAAACCCACTTCTTGCAGAAGCCTCAGCATGTTGCAATTCAATCCAGTAAAAATGTCTAAATGGCTATAAAGTGCCTTCTTGAGATATTATTATAACTCTGCAGAAACACATTATGGAACATCTTCAAGCACTATATAAGGAGACATTTAGTTCCTTACTATACCGAGTCTGCCAACTGGGAAGCACATCGGGGTGATTTTGTTTTGTCATACAAGAAAGGAATGCGTGGCTTGTTTTCCAGAGCACATACGACCGCTGCCCACTAGAACTGGTGCGATGCATCAAGCACATTCTCTACACAGAGCAAAGGCTGGTGCGGGAGGCGACAAACGTGAGTACGCACTGGAGCACTGTGCTCTGTGATGGTGCTGGGTCTATGCGACTTTGTGCTGCGGGCTTGCAGGAGCATGACTTGTTTCAGTAAAGATCTGGTTCTGTAAAATCGTCAGAGAGAAAGTCAAGCAGTGTTTCCCCCAGTAGAGGCACTACTAATAATGGCTAATAAGGAAGTTCATCGGTTCATCACAAAATAAGTCATGAATGTTGGTGTAAATATCCCGGTGTACAGCTGAAAGGCCAAGTAATCTAATTACTTAGGTTGTTACTTCAGTTAAGATGTTGCAATCTGATCATTTGCGTCTTGATCGTCTGCTAAGTTACATTATATCGTAAACCGGTTACGCTTGATGTCGAGTGACTCTTTTGGCTTAAATTTGAATTGTGTGTTTGTGCCAACGCACTCTGGCCATGTGCCCAGCAGTCAATCTCCCCGGTGGGTGGCATGATGGACAGCATGTCTCAGAAGTACCAACAGATCAACCAGGCCTTTGAAGAGCTGCGGGTGATGACTCAGGACACCGATAACGACTTGCGCAAGCTTCAGCACCACCAGGAGTACTTCATTATCCAGTACCAAGAGAGTCTTCGCATTCAGGGTGAGCTCTGGTGGACTCAGGGCTCAGTGTTGCTTGGCGGGTTTTATGGCCTCTTAAATCAGCGCCGCAGCCTCGGGCTGCATTACAGACTCAAGCCGGTGAATTATTACTGTGCGGCTCAGCAAGGCGGAATTCTGTTTGCATGCGGGTGTGTTTCTGTCCTTGTGTGTGTGGCGCGCGTGAGATTTTAGCCAAGCGAAACCTGCTGACTCTGCCGCCTCGCCTCTATCCCCACCCCCGCACCCCTCTCTAGCCCAGTTGAGCAGTCTCTCCAGCCTGCCCCCTGCTGACCGGCAACTGCGGGAGCCCAGCCTGCAGAGCAAGCGGGCCGCTGTGGAAGCCTGGCTCACTCGCGAGGCCAACACACTACAGAAATACAGATTGGTGCGACATCTCACTTACCCAGGCCTAATATGGGCATGAAGGGGCGTGGCTGTGGGGTGATATACCGTGACGCGTCGACGCTGCTCCGCATACGCCCTTCAGGAGCACTCGAAGTAGAGGGTCATTCAGTAACCCAGATTTGCACATTTGTGTTTCCAGGACCTCGCGGAGAAGCACCAGAAGACTTTGCAGATGCTCCGGAAGCAGCAGACCATCATCCTAGATGACGAGCTCATCCAGTGGAAGAGACGGCAACAGCTGGCCGGCAATGGCGGCCCACCCGAGGGGGGGCTGGACATTCTGCAGTCTTGGTGAGTCCTCAGCTGGCTGTTTCCTCCATGGTACACATGGCCAATCAGGACGCACGATATTTGTACTGGTCATTTTGTCCCAGAGGGAGAACTTGATGAGGCTACTGATTATGTCAGCGCTCATGTGTGGAACATCAGCCACTATTACTTCCAGCTGTGCTTCGATTGGTGTTCATTCCTGGCCCCCCAGGTGTGAGAAGCTAGCAGAGATGATCTGGCAGAACCGGCAACAAATCCGGCGGGCCGAGCACTTGAGGCAGCAGCTCCCCATCCCCGGCCCCATCGAGGAGCTGCTGACGGAACTCAACAGCACCATCACAGACATCATCTCCGCGCTCGTCACCAGGTTAGACAGCGAACCGCGGAGGTGGGGGCACAGCAGGAAGATGGGCTCCCTGTTCGCAGCCACCACCCCCCCCCCCTGTCTCTAAGGAATCGCTCAGGCACCCTTTTCCCAGAATCCATTAGTCTGTGTACGAGGCCAAGAGTGGGAGAAAAACACCACCAAAACAAGATGATTGTGTAATTTTAATCTTTCACATATATTTACCCGGTAGATTAATGGACACTAAAGTCTAAATGCCTGATAGGGCTTACATGTTGAAATTTGAAGTTGATATCCATTTCCTATAGTCATATTTTAGGAGTTTTAGTTTTTTGATAAAATCTGACCTTCAGACTACAATGGATCATGAGATAGCGCTGTAGTCTCAGCCCTGCCAGGGTGGGAGGTTGAATCACACACCCCCGCCCTGTGTGGTGTCTGCGTGTTCTCCCTGTATTATGCAAATTTCCTCTGGGTACTCCTGTTTCCTCATGCAACTCAAGCCCGTAGTTAGGTGAACTGCTGCCTCATTTGTCCATAGTGTGTGACTGTGTGAGAGTCACTACAAGTCTCTTGTGATCCCTGCTTTCTGGGACAGGAGATCCTCTGCTGCACCATTTCCCAGTCCGGTCCGCAGGGGCCCACAGACAGTCCATGTTTTGCTTGGAGGGAGCAAAAATGTGGACTATCTGGAAGGGAGCAAAAACTTGGCCTGTCTGTGGGTGTTGGGAAACACTGCTGTACTGGGTAAGCAGTCAAAAGATGGATGGATTTTAAACTTGAAATTGATTATAAAGATAAACAGGCTTTCACTGGGCTGAGGCTTCAAGGCAGAGTTCGATGGGTGCAGTGCTTTGAAACGTTTCTCCATTAGAATAAAAAAAGCGGGATGGGATGCAATCCCCAAGTGTAAACATGATATTTTAATGCTGCTGAGTGATACATTAATCTGTGGAGTGTCTGCAGGATGCAGCCTCCCCCCCACTAATGATATAGAGTGACTCTCTGCCCTGACCGAACTCCTGTGTTCTCTCTGCCGGTTCCATGAGTTCAAATTTTTTTTTATTATTATTATTACTTCTCATTTTATTAGCTGTCACGTACCAGCCATTTCAAGACTATTTCTGACATTCACTTTACCGTCACTTAGTGCTTCAAAGGAAAGTCTCTTGTGACTGTCCGAGGCTATTTACCTGGATGTAAATCCCCCTCCCCCGATCAGAGAGGCACCTGGAACGGCGCCCTTCCGACTGAACAGAATTCCGCACGGCAGGATCAGCTAGTCTAGGGCCTGCTCCCTCTTGCCTCTCTAGTTCTGCCAAGCCGGTAGACTCGTTGGTAATAAGTGTTTATTCAAGTCGCACATTTGTGGTTACTTTCCTTCTGTTTATGAGCATATATGTATCCATTAGAGATGAGGGTTTGCATGTGGTTCTGCAGGTACATGTGATCACTCGCAGTCGTGATTAACCTCCTGATAGGCGCTGTCATGGTTACTTTTTTTTAAAAACCAAAAACACGGAGACACCTGAAGTGAGCTTTTTGGCTTTCATCAAGCACAGGGCTCAAGCATGGTTCAATGGCTTATGTTAGCTGACTGTTACAGTTAGGGTGACCACCCAGTCCATGTCAGGGGGCGCTATGAGCTAGGACAGGGTTTGTAAACTACCATTTCAACGAAAAAGACCTGAATTTCACTGAGTTCTTGCTGTGTGCTGATTGGTCAGTCTCTTATAATCATGTACGTGTCACTAATGTTAAATGAAACAGCTGGATGAGTCTTTCAATCAAGGAAACAAAACTGGACAAGCACAAAAAGAATCGAACTAATTAGCCAAGCACAGGAGCCTATCAGTTTTAAAGTAGTTTTATTAAACCTGAAGTAGCTCATAGTGGCCCATGGATTTTGTAGTCACCCTAATTACAGTACAGAATATTTCGGTATGAAACAGTGGAAGACCTCTTAAAGAGACCCTGTTCACACCTTATACCAGGAAAAATATTGCATAAAAGGATAATCCAACAACACTCTAACTTCAAATGGGGATGTTCTGCTAATAATGATATAGTATTTTTTAATTTTTGGGGTAGGCCCTAACTGAGTATCACAGAAACTGATGGTCTATGAATCATAGTCACCCCTGAAATGGAAAGTCTCAACAGGTTTGGGGGCAAAAATATTCCAAAGGCACGCTAGGAACTATTATTATTACGGGATGAGCAACACAGGCTCTTTGATCCAAGTCATGTGACAAAAGCCTGTAATGGCATGTTGATGTCAGTCATATGTGTCAGTTTGCATTCACACAGTGGGTCGTAACATGCTGAGAATACTTATGTGGCAAACTGGGGGGGGTGGTCCTGAAGGCAGTCTGAAAGAGGAATGTTCAGGGAATTCACTCACTGGTGGGACCAAAGCCACGCATGCGATAATCAGTGGTCATACTCATCCATATCCAACTGTGTATTAATCAGACTGTTCCATGTCATTCCTGCATCATCTTTCTATGTGTCTGTACAATTTTTCGTCCAGTTTAATGTGAGAGAAGACAAATTATTAGATCAGTTATGTAAAAAAATAAATGAAAAATGAATGATTAAGTCATAAATAATTACAAAATAATAAGCATTATTTATAACAGATATAATTTATATCATGACCTTTCATGCTGGCACGTTCTGTCTCTGACCTCGAATGATGGCATCGTGTCCTCATGTCCCGCCAGCACCTTCATCATCGAGAAGCAGCCGCCACAGGTCCTCAAGACGCAGACCAAGTTCGCGGCCACCGTGCGGCTGCTCGTAGGGGGGCGGCTCAACGTGCACATGAACCCGCCCCAGGTGAAAGCCACCATCATCAGCGAGCAGCAGGCCAAGGCGCTGCTGAAGAACGAGAACACCAGGAAGTGAGTCAGGATGCCCGCCCTCCCCGTGACTCCGCCCTCCCCGTGACTCCGCCCTCATTAATGATGGACTTGCCACCCAGCGGCACAGAAGTCGGCAGTCGTGTGACGTACCGTAATGAGCGCTGAGGAGGAAGGTCTATAGCAGGGGTTCTCAGAGTCTGGACCGCGGTCCAGATGTGGAGTGAACTGCAAGTTAATACAGACCTAGCCGATAATGCACCTTATGAATCAATATGGCTAAAGTAAAAAGTCTTATACAACATAGAACTACCAAACTTTGCACACACATAATATCGTCATAATCCCCCCCCCCCCCCCTGTTGACAAGGAGTCCGAAAGATCAGCGAGCGTTAAAAGTCTTTATGTTAAGTTTCCATTATTGTTATATATTGATGTCTATGTAGAAAGTTATTGTTAATTCGTTACAGTTCATGAAATGTTGTTTTGTTATTGAAAATTGTTCCAGACCTCTGATTGATTCAAATGTTTGAGGATCCCTGGTCTGAAGGGATCTCTGAAAGAACATTGGGCCACATGGTGTTTAACTGCTCAGTTGCCACCTGGCACAGCTCTCAGAAGCAGCATTTCCGTCCCAAAATCTCAGTACTGCTTTATGCTGGGTTACTTTACTTAATATACCCTCTCTGCATTCTTACAGATTTAATGATATTGACAGCAAGTACTACTCTCACATCTGCAGGAGTAATATTGAATCATTTGGGAGCAATATTTAAGCATCTGATAAAGGAATTCCTGTTTGCCTGGTTTCGTGACACTTTATTTCACTAACAAAAGTCATTAAAAGTTGTTCCCTTGAACTGAACCCCATGGCAGCACAGCACAACGAAAGCTTCGGACCTGGCCGGACCTCCGCTTAAGCCCTTCTGAACAATCTCTCCTGCCATTTCAGTGAAAGCAGTGGTGAGATTCTCAACAACAACTGCGTGATGGAGTACCACCAGACCACCGGGACACTGAGCGCCCACTTCAGGAACATGGTGAGCCGCGGTGGCCCGGGGGGACGTCTGTGTTTCATGTAGGATGACCTCTAGAAGCCAGTGTTTCCTGTAGTGCACTGAGGTATTAACGCAGCAACTGCGGCGTGCCCCTGTTTTGGGCCTGAGACCTCTTAGGACCTCACACAGCCAATTCCAGAGTATGTCGCAGTAATGGCTCTGGTCCTTTGAAGTGTTTCACAGTCATTTAGGCACAATAGGCAATGTGACCTCAGATGCCCCCGTGATCCAGGCTGCGTGTGTTAGGTCAGACGGCTTTGTGAACAGGGATCTAACAAGCCCTGCTGGAGTAGACTGAAAGGGGAGGGGGGCAGTGAGTAAATATGGACTCCCCCTCCCTTAATTTCATGCTCTTGTCTTACAGTCCTTAAAACGGATAAAGCGCTCAGACCGGCGTGGGGCGGAGTCTGTGACTGAGGAGAAGTTCACTATTCTGTTCGAATCCCAGTTCAGTGTGGGTGGCAATGAGCTGGTTTTTCAAGTGAAGGTAAAAAGAACTCTCCTTATCTCATTTTGGATGCATTAACTGCAAGTCTTTCATTAAAAAAAAAAAAAAAAAAAAACAACATGTTGCAGTTTACAGACTGTTGCATAACACTAACTAGTGTGTTGAGTTAGAAATTGAGTGAAGAGCACACCGTAAGTTCCCTGGTGCCTGTGATCTGAAACTGTTTTGTCTGCTTTTTATAGGTTATTACTGGGAAGTTATATTTAAATTGCTAACGATTAGTTACTCTGACTCTTAGTCTGTCCATCAGAGTATCTGTCATATTCTGACTTCTGCTTCTTCCTGGCTGCACACTTCACTCAGACATTATCACTTCCTGTTGTGGTGATTGTCCACGGTAGTCAAGACAACAATGCAACAGCAACCGTTCTTTGGGATAATGCCTTTGCAGAGCCGGTGAGCGTTTCGTCTTTGACTTTACGTTAAATGTCTTGTCTAAATGAATGAATAAAGCAGGGAAAGCCGTAGCCACTAAACTGAAGCCCTTTCCTTACTGCGTAACCGAATTTGCCATCAGTAATGCTTAATCCCCGCCCATAACATTATTTGCGAGGTTAACGTGTCAACTATTAAAGTTGTTAGATTGGCTCTGATAAGTGGCCTTAGGTTTCTGTTTGCATATTACGTAAAACGAATACTTTGTCCACTTGAACATGCGATTTTAACACATGTGGCTGGAAAACCATTATAAGGAAGTTGGGAGACAACCAGGCATTTAAATGAGAGGAAAAGACTCCACAGCCTGATACCCAGAATGGTGTGAAATGGGGTATATTTGTGGATTCCTTTTTCGGGGGAGATGAGTGGCAAGGAAGTGCCCCATAGCACAGACGGGTCCCGAAAACATTCCGCTATATAGGGGCCACAGGGATGAGGAATGGCTGGAACCAATCAGCTTGGATACTGACAGTCAGCTGACCCGGTCTCTCAAGGCAGGCTTTGGCCATCCTCTCACATCAACCTGATAAGACAAGCCAGCCCATGCCCTCAGGATCTTAGCAAAGGTTTGCTCTGTGCACGCCCAGGGCCGGGTACCGTTCCTTGTTCCGGATAAGGTGCTGTGGCCGCAACTCTGTGAAGCCATCAACATGAAGTACAAGGCTGAGGTGCAGAGCAACCGGGGGCTGTCCGAGGAGAACCTGGTCTTCCTGGCCCAGAAGGCCTTCAGCAACGGCAGCATTAACCCAGAGGACTACCGCAACATGACCATCTCCTGGTCACAGTTCAACAGGGTAAGCTTTCTGTGCCCTTCAGGAGAAAACACAGGTCATGCTCTCAGGCGGTGACAATTATTTCATTTCACCTTGTTGTAGAATGTTGTGGTGGTGATAATGGTAATATGACATGACGCTTCTGCTTTATGATACTCACTCTGGCTTCAGGGGTTACTCTACTCAAATGTACTCAGCTGTTCAGCATTTATTCAGAGACATTATTCCACTGTAACAGTCACCCCTGCATGAGACTGCGGAGACTCACCATGATATCCACATCTGCTTTCATTTCTCCTGGGGAATCTAGATAGAGCCAGTTCTATTGGTCAGTCTTAAGAAACTCCTAGTAACAATGAGCACATAAGTAGCTAGTCCTCAGTCAAGAGGGACTTTAATTCAATTAAGAAACTCTTATATCGTGGCAAGAATTCACGTGGTGATTCCCAGCGGCCTGCTAATGTCTTTCTAGCTTAATGGAGTGATTGGAACATAGTGTTATCAGTCTGGAAATAATGGGTCGTTTCATTGTAACGTCTAAAACGCTGTATCTCTATATGTATTAGGGCCAAAGCTGCAGATGCGTGTTCTTGAAATTTTATTCGATCGACACACAAACTCAGCCTCCCTAGTTTGCCCCCCTGTTTTGTTGCGCAAGAATGAAGGAAAACTTTTTTTCATTGCAAGTATGTTGTACGCTAATAGAAGCCAAAACAGTTTAAGGGGAAAAAGTACTGAAATCCATCTTGTAATGTGGTCTGTAGGTTCCGCATGTTCTTCTTCTGGGATTAGACAGTGATTTTGAACGAATGAATGCATAGGGAGAGGAAGTCGACTGAGACGACGGACAAGCCTTGCGACATTTTCCGCATCCTCACCGCAGCCTATTGACCCCCCGTCCGCTTTCGTAGGAGAGCTTGCCAGGGCGGAACTTCACCTTCTGGCAGTGGTTTGATGGAGTCATGGAGCTCACCAAAAAGCACCTGAAGCCGCACTGGAACGACGGGTGGGAATGAAACCGGCCTTTGTGTGTGTTCCCAGCCTCATTCAACATGGTCTCGGGCTCGCAGACCAGTTCCTGCTGACCCTTCAGTATTGCAATAGCGCATAAAAAAAAATGACGGGAAATTCTCGCATGCATACACCGGAGTATCTGAGAGGTAGACACGCTAACGGGCAGTTCTGTACGCCTCCGCTGCCGCAGGGCCATCCTCGGCTTCGTGAACAAGCAGCAGGCTCAGGACATGCTCATGTCCAAGCCCAACGGCACTTTCCTGCTGCGCTTCAGTGACTCGGAGATCGGCGGCATCACCATCGCCTGGGTGGCTGAGAATCCGAACAAAGCAGGTACTGCGGCCGGGGGGGGGGGGTCTGCATTTTACCCCGATGAGAAGCTGGTCATCTCATGGTTGTAAAGGCCGGTCAGTTCAACGCATGTTTGTTCGCATTCAATTTTACGGCCTCGTTTTGCATAATCTCCTCAAGTATTGCAGGTCTCCTCCCGTAGTTCAGAGATATACAATTAGGCTGATTGCTGTCTCTGGCCACGTTGTAGGATGGGGTCCATAAGATTGACCGTGTATATGCCCTGTGATAGACTGGGCTCCTGGCCAGGGTGTACCCCTGCCCTGCTCAGTCTGAGCTGAACGGTTAAAGGATTTAGGGATTGGTGGGTGGTAGGAATAATATGTTGGATGGGATGGGGGATTCTTGTGATGGGTTGGCCCCCCATCCTGGATTATTCCCTGGCTTGTGCCTGTATCTTCCGGGATCGACTCTGCACCCCAGCTATCCTGCATAAGACGAGGGGGGAATGTGTGGATGTTTGCATAGGTGGATGGACGGGGGAATGTTTCATGTTTCTTTGGATAACTGAACTTCAGATACTCTGGTTTCTGGTTTTATTCCGGGCTCTCTGATGCTCTAAGCTGAGTGCCTCCACTCTTCCCTCCCTTTCTCAGGAGAGAGGATGGTTTGGAACCTAATGCCGTACACGTCCAAAGACTTCTCTATCCGCTCCCTGGCTGACCGCATCAGCGACCTCAACCACCTCCTATTCCTGTACCCCGACCGGCCCAAAGATGATGTTTTCTCCAAATACTACACCCCACCACTGTGTACGGGCCTCTTTGCATCTATCATCATGTTTGGGGGGGAGGGGGGGTTTCTAGGCAGAAATAAATCCTGGTGAACCCTCATTTGGTTAACAAACAGACAAAGGTCGCACTTTGCATAATCAAATTGTGTCAAGCGTCTTCCTTCAGTGTGCTGATGACGATGTGTGCTTCTAAACGTCAAATACATACACTCATGACCACATGTTCCCCGACAGCCAATAGAAAGGGTTTGTTCCCACCAGGGAAGCCAAAAAATGCATTTTTACATTTTTTCCGCATGCGTTTTTCTGCCGTTTCATCTCGCATTTGTCCACTTTCTTTTGAGTCTTTATACGTTTTTTTTAATGTTTAATTAGCCATTTCTGTGATTGTACATGATTGTCCCTAGTGTTTGTGGGGAAAAAGAGGGAGTAAAAAAATGCATACAAACACCTTGGAATGTGTTTGTATCCATTTTTCATTGTCATCATTGGGAGTTTGCTGTGCAGAGAAGCGCATGCAGCAGTGCGTTTTCAAAATGCACTGCAACGCAGCGCACCAGTGGAAACATCTTACACTGCTTTCTATGCGATATATGATGTTCTAGCGAATCGCAGAATCATTTGTCATAACGAATTGTACTAGATTAATGTAATCACATCAAGACGTGACACCTTTGTATTACCTCATATAAACAAGAAATCAAGTGAAGCCCGTTCTCTTGTATCGCATGGACCCTCATTTGACCGTTTCCTTAATTTTTCCTTTTTGGCCCCCCTCCAGCAAAACCAGTGGATGGCTACGTCAAACCACAGATCAAACAGGTGGTTCCAGAGTAAGTCCAGGCCCCCGCTGCTCCTTCTGCTCCCCCTCTATCAACCTTTTCAGTTTTTGTTACTTACAGGAAATAGGTTTTTTTTTTCCCCACTTGCTTATCCTAAATTGGACCATTCTTTTACAGCTTATGCATTTGCGTGAACGAATTAAGCTACCTGCTGTCAGTCCGCTGCTGATTAATGTGAACGTATTTTTAATCATTCACCTCGCAGAGTACAGTATTGATTTATAGAGAAGGTGAGTAGGATCCCAAGGAAAGGGCCTTCTTCAGAAGAGCCTCCACACCTCCACACACAGCCTCCGTATCCCTCCCCTGCTTATCGCTCCTGAGAAGGACGCACAACTCTGTCTTAACTGGGCTTTCACCATGCACTAGGATTCTCCCTGCACACCCCCCCCCCCCCATCCCGACCGACCATCTCTGAATGCATATCGGCAATTAGGCGGCCACTCTAAGTGCAGGTGGCTGATTTAATGGAGTTTAAGTGGGGCTCTCTCCCCCTACACGGATGCTGTTGGCGCGGTGGAGAATGTCACCGAGTTTGCAGCTCAGGCGGCAGGCCGGCGTTGCCACGGAGAGCTTGGCCGTGGGGCAGAGTAATGTCTAGGGCTCTCGGGATAGCACGCACAGCCCGGCATGCACGTAATGAACAAACAAGTCCATCTTGTCCTTCAGTCTTTCAGCATTAATCCCTGAGCATTAAAATAATTACTTTCAAAACATGGAAATAATGTATACCACATATGATGCATATTTTTAGCTCCTTGTTCTTCCCTGTACTTATTTTTTCCCCAAATTGAGCTAATCTTTTTCCCTGAATTGTGCCAGTTTTTCATTGGTCTGGTAATTACCTGTGTTTACCCAGGTCTTTTGGTGTAATTAGCATCTTACCTGCTTCTGTTCGGATGTCAGGTTCACCACTGCCAACCCTGACCCATCCAGCGTGAACCCCACCTACATGGAACACGCGGCCTCGCCGGCTGTCAGTCACTCGCACGGCTATGGCATCTACCCTCCCATGTAAGCAGGAGAGTGATCTGTATATGTTCATGCACACGTGCGCAGACATTTGTTTACACTACCTTGTGTGCCTTTGTGCCTGGTGACAGGAATGATCCAATGTTGGATACGGAAGGGGAGTTCGACCTGGATGATACCATGGACGTGGCAAGGCACGTGGAGGAATTGCTCCGACGGCCCATGGAAAACCAGTGGAGTGGACAGCAGTCATGACCTTTGACCTCTGACAAAGCGAAAATCAATCACTTTGTTTATAAAGATTTAATTCCGTAGTTTGTCCCTCTTATACTTTAGAAAACATGAAACAATCGCCGTGAATACTTTATTTTTTTCCATTTCAGCATGCTAATTGCATGCCAGAATGTTTTTCACAATATTCCCCTCCCCCAAACATATCTAAAAATCAAACAAAACTTAATGGGAAAATACAGCTTATTGCCTACACACATACCCAAAACCCCCATCCTAAATCTGTAAATTTCAGCTTATATTTCTAAGAATTATTTTTGATGAGTCAAAAATGACAAAGAAGGAACTATAGAGATAAGCCGTTTAAGTATTTTGACTGTACTTTTGGTAAAGGTTCATCAGGTTTTATGGGTAGGTGTAGTCCACAACGTTATTGCCTTATGTGAAATGGCATTAATGTTACTTTGGAGAGTTTTCAGGTTGAAATGTACAATATTCCAGTGAATTATAACAAAGGACATAAGGTGGATTATAGCAAAAGCCATAAGGATAGAATGTCCCACGTAGTATGGCCATTTTAGGCCAGAGGCTGAGCAATCAAGCGCTTACTGGAAGATCTGGTGTGACCCTGCACCCTTTTTCTGGAAACCATATTGTGACTGTCATGTGTTTCTTGTGAGATATACGTCACCGTTTGTTCCAAACACGCTGGATTCGGGCTTCTTGTAACGTACCGTCTTGCATGTCCCTGGAAACCCTCACCTGCTCGGATGGCCAACGTCACATCTGTAAAACCCAGCTTGTCCATATCCGCCACCCTGATTTACTTAGCTAGCTGGTACTGAGTAATCATGCCAGGGAACCGCTAGGGGCAGGCGGGTCCTCACCTCAAAAGCAGGGCAGGCTCCTGTTATAATACCAATAGTACACTAACGCAGTCGTCTGTGCATTCATACTGTTGTGCACTCACCCATTTGTCGGTTCAGACCACAAAAGCCTTGCTGCCCCACTTTACTCTTTCACCAAATGCCTCTCACTGATCTCGTCACTCCTGGCCTGTGGGTTCTGGCCCGAACTGGCAAAAGTCGGGAATGTCGCCGACAGCATATGAGATATCGGTAAAAAAAAAAAAAAAAAAACAACAACAAACGTGCAAGGACATTCAAGTTAAGCCAGTTAAGAAGTTCCGTAAGTGCATTTGAAGGGGGCACTTTCAGCCAGGACTGTCACCCCTGCCCACATCACCACCTTTCTGCCACTGGAAGTGACACGCGACGTTCCCTTTCCCCGCTCCTGCTGTTCGCCGACAAGCCAACATGTCTCAGGAATGAGCACTATACTAACGCTGCGTATCATTGACATAGAGATGGTGAATTTGAGGGGTTTCTGTGTGTATAGAGTAACTATAAATAACTTTTTTTTTGCGGGGAAAAGTATTTTATTACCTTATCTCTGGTTTTCCCCTCTGGTTTGTGACCATTGTGTGAGAGTAGAACAGAGATTGTGGAAGCCACGGCAAATTGTTGCTTTGCGTTAAGAACCACAACAAGCCATAATGTAGAATGGAATTAATCACTGGTTTATTTTTGTTGTTCGTTTTTTTTTTTTTAATGAATTATTTTAGGATGTATTCCTTTTTATGCCGCGTTTATCATGATTTGGTCACCAAATTGTGCGCATTGTTTAATTACTGCCATTTGGAGAAGGAATTCAGCTATAGGTATTGTGTGACGTTTTCGCATTTTTTATTGTTAATGTCAGTATTGTTATTTTTAATCCAGATTGTTCCGTGTTTCTTTCTGCCTACTGTTGTGTAATCGTGGTGAGTTCTGTGTTCGTCCCTTTGTTGGCGTTTGGATTTCAGCACTTGGACATAATCCAGGAAACCCAAAATGCTAATAGTTTTATAAATAATTTGAACAGTAAAGGGCAATGGAAAATAATGCTTCTCCAATAAATGTGCTTTACACTGTTTTGTTAGCAGTCGTAAATACAGTTTATTCCCTTTTTTAAACACCTTTATTGGTCAATGTTTGTACACGAGGAATGTAAAAAGGAGTTCGGAGCGGCCACAATCTTTACTCTTGAATGTAATGTAAAATAAAGTTGTCCTCCGAAGAGGGGGGGTGGTGGTGGGCAATAAAAAAAAAAAAAAAAAAAAAAAAAAAAAAAGGAATGTAAAAAATATTGGAAGTTCATGTTCGTTGCATCACCCACGGTTGTGTTCAAGATTTTGAAGTGCTTAAGCTACTAATGAAAGCTATCTATCTATCTATCGTAGGAAGCAAGAACAAGATTGAAATCTTTCTGGTACAATATATATAGTTTCTCTTGTAGGACCTGAGGATGCGAGGATCTCGTCTTATGTAGCCATCTGCAGGTTTGGCTAATAATGAGAAGACTGGATCTTTAATTTCCCCCACACATTGACAGTATGTTAACGGGAAGAGTGGTGTAAAGATGAATGGATTGGCAATACTTGGAGCTTAAGATGCATGAATCGGCCGTGAGACCTAACAGTCGGCCGTGAGACCTAAGTAGAATCATTTGCGATGTGACGTCAGTTTGGACCACTGGACTGTGCCGTTAAATGTTCCCATTCTGCATGGGTTTGTAATGCAGGGGGAAATACACGCATATGTTGCATTACAGACTGAATCCCGATCATTAACGCTAACAGCTCCACTGGTGGAAAAATATTTGTCCATTTCGAAATTAACCTGGAAAAGTAAACAAACTCTCCTAGTCATTTTCCTGCAACGCCAGCCCAAACTATGAAATTATGTAGTCCGGAAAAGATGCATTCAAATTGCATATTCTTTATCAACAATTTAATGTTTCCGGTTCTGACAGGCCTGGCCATGTTCCAAGTTAGTGTGTCGCAGTTGCTTAGATACGTGTTGCCAGGATACTAGCAGTTAGGTACAATGAATGTTTTATTAGTTCTATTATTATTAATCAGGAGATGTGCGGGATGATGGATGGATGGATTTACATGTCTGCAACTGTTTGCTTAGTTGACACTTTTTCTCAAGTCAACATGCTATTTATACTTATACCCGTTAGTCAGCTGTCTATTTGCTGTAGCTGTTCAGAAAGTCCCTTTCTTCGGTTCACGACTGCAGGTCAATTTCCTGGTTTACTGTTTTTATTCATTTAGCTCCACAGTAGCACATTAGCGCAATATGGTCCTAAGCCTTAAGTTTTAACTAGATCCGCTTGATAATTCTCGTTACATAGATATGCCAGCTTACCAGACGAGCGACTTGTTAGCAGAATAAAATCAGAGGTAGAAATCCTTCTGCAACGAGCTTTTTTCCGCTTCATTTCCCGTTGCTCAGGATTAGAGACACATAAAAGTGAGACACGGAAGCGGTGACCGTTACGGCTGAATTTCAGCGAACACGTGGAGCAGCTGTCATGTCGGGGCCGGACCGGGGGTTGTCAGCTTCCTCCCGACTAACACAAGCAACCCCCCGTAATTCGTCTTCATTTGTGCCACAGAAATGCCGCTTTCCTTCTCAAATTTCAGCTGGCTGCAGTGACTTTTGCTATTAGAAACGAGTCTGCACACACATTTACACGTAGGTCTACGTAACAGTTTGCTTACCTTGTAAATCGTGTGTAGGGTTTGCAAATTACCCCAGTGCTTTTGATGTAGCCTAGCTTATTTTTGGCTGTTGATGTAATATAGATTTGCCGTAAGATTTCTTGCGTAAGCGTTAGAGTTGGCAGCCCTGCCTTTAGGTACGCTTGTGTTCTTAAGTAATGAGTCGCTGAATAATTTTAGAAGATGTTTTATTTAAATGATGAGGGAATAGACCTGGTCTGATGTTTTTAGTCGAAGTTGCAGTCAATTTTTCTTTTCGGGCTCCGTATATTTGTGCCGCTCCATTACTTGGACCGAGTTGTTCTACAGTAACTATACAGATTTTTAGTGCCTTGGGAACTAAAAACATCTAGGTACTATGATTTGTTATAGGTTATATTTGGAGACACCAGAACCAATAAGTAGCCTAACAGAGGTGTCTAAGGAGATGAATTCTGGACAGGAGAGCGGAATAACCTGGGTTGTCATTCAATGAATTAATACTACAAAAAGTATAGCGGACGTCTCAATTTGGGAGCAATATTCTTGCGACGTGCTCGTTATCGGGTGGCCTTATTATACAATTTGAACGCAGTGAATCAGTGTTTGGAAGTCCTGAGGTATATGTCCAGAGACGGAAAAGTGATATTAATGTGACGTGCACATAACTAAATACGTCATGGTATATGTCATTGGTACACATCTATGTGTGGATATGATAATATGTTTTGCATTTATTCATTATTATTCAGCCAATACAGTTTTAAGCATCTAGTCACGTATCTAGCTGTGCTATGCTGAATGTTAACTGGTCAAACAGTTGCTTTGGAGATTTACAAATAAACTGGAGCCCAATGAGGCATCACTACCAGCCACGGTGGTCCCTGAAATAGACCACGAGTGCAGATTTATTATTTTGCAAAGAAAGAAACAGTGGAAATGACTTTTCCAGATTGTTTTGCTTTCCTGTTATCTATAGCCATCATGTTCCAACAAGCAGAAGTAACTGGCGTTTTTGAATCCTTATTGGCAATATTTTTGAAAATTGAAATTCCAGTTCCTGCGCTTGTTTGTTTCAGGGGCCCGCAGTAACGGCAAGAGCTGATTGTGATTTCGCTTAGCAGCCACTAGATGTCAGTAGTGCTACAGCGTTTCATCAACTCATCCATCTTCTAACTGTTTATGCGGTTTACGCGTTTGGAATCTGTCCCAGAAAGTTATGTGGCACAAGGCCAGGGTACACCCCGGATGGGATGCCAGTCCATTGCAGGGTACACACTCACAGACTCACTAAATTACAAGTCAAGAAAAAAAAAAACAGAGTCTCGAGAAAATTTGCACATCACAGGAAGAACGAGCAAATTCCATGAACGGAAATCAAATCCCCCCGCCCTAGCAGCGTGAAGCAAGAGTGTCACCGCCGCATTGTTTCGGGGCGTTCTCGATACTGATGCATTTTGGGAATGGCAAAGGTGTAAGGCTTCACATATCCATAAGGTTACCGGGTATATTACACTGTTATGTGTTAACTGCCCTGTGATTGGTTGGAGCCCCATCCTGGGCTGGTGCTTGCCTTGCACCCGCAGCCTCCAGGAAAGGCTCTGGATCTCCTGCAACCCTGAATAGGACAAGCGGTTACAGAAAATGGGTGGGTGGATTGATGAACGCTAATTAAGGTCTGCTACCTGGCTGTCCGATCCCTAAATAATGACATTTTGAACTTAAAATCTGTTGTTAATTTACCCGAAGCAGAAAAGGCAGATTCTGCAAAAGTCCACGTACAAAATATCCAACAAGGCAATGACTAATAGGATTCTAATATTCATGCATTTGTGAGAAAAATCAACTTTTGGTAACCATAAACAAATATATGAATCAGAAGATGATTGAACAATGTCTTCTCTGGCACTATGACTCCATACGTATGTCAACTTGGCGGGGGTGTCCCTAGAAAACTGTCCCCCTGCCCAGTTTTCCATATAATTCTTTGTCTTCAAGGGCCCCTGTACAGTGTTGGGTCAGGGTATCCATGCCACCCCCTCAAAACCTACCAAGGGGATTCCCCCCTCCCCCGCCTGGTCAACAAAATCTACCAGTGGACCCTGCTGGATCTTGACTTTGTGTCGCTGATGGAATCTGAGGAAATATAATTCGGGTTCCCGGCCTAAAAGTGGATCTTTGGTAAGTCGGGCCTCTCTGGCTTTGATATGAACAACGGCTTTTTTTCTCAGGAGTGCCGACTCCATTTGAAGTGCAGCTGCTCTGAGACGGAGCGAGTCCCCTTGGTGGTGAAATAATCGTGCTGCTGTCAGAATATTGCCACAGAGAAACTGCAGAGACTCGTAACGGGTTTCGGTTCTGCCTCCACCTCAGTCTTCCGAATCGGTACAGGAAGCAGTGCGGGTGCAGCCCAGACTTCAGGCCTTGGTGTGTCACTGCACCTCCTTTCACTTCCACACAGTCGACTCTGACAGATTCGGCACCATGATATACTGCAAAACCTACATTCTTCACATTTCTTTCCTTTCACTTTTTCCAAAAATAAAAAGATTCCATTCTGCTTTTTTTTTTGCCCAATCTCTACGCATGGTTGCAATTTTCTTATTCATGGGATGGAATTGGGTTATTCATGAATAATTCACAAACCTTAGATAGTCACATCAGCTTGTATGTGGGGGTTTGTATCCAATAAGGGTTTTCCTGGGCTTATTTGACTGAAGAATGTGAGCTTATAAATATTTTAAACATTTATAATTTGTCAGCCAGTTAAAGTGCTTTTTTCGCTGCAAGTTAAAACATTTTTTGAAGAATTTTGTCAAGCATGCTTTACCGAATTCTCATCAGTGTCTTGGGTTAAAAGGAATCTCAATGGTTAGGATTTCTGAAAAATAGTAACCATTTTAAAAAATATGTACTTATGTATAGATGCATTTTCAGTACTGTCCGGCCTATGGTGATTCCCTTCAAAAAGGTGACCAGGAACAGGATTTTGGTTTGGCTGCATGATGCAGCAAAACCCACTGGTGCAGTCTGGCTTAGTCAGGTTACTTACTAAAGACCCAATTAATTCCACACCATGGGCAATATGGGCATAAGCACAGACAAGGGCGATTATAAGTGTGATTTTAGGTTGGCTCCGCCCCCTGGAGAATGAAGGGATGCTGGTCATAGGGTTAGAAAGAAGGACTTGGGGTGGGGAGGAAGCCAGCTGGGCCTTCAGCAGGCCTGCTGGCGGCACATGAGGGAGTGACATCTGGAGCTGGCAGGCCTCCAGGGAGGTGCTTACGTGGGAGCTAGAAGTCTCACATGCCTGCTGGGACTGCGGAGGATGAGAGCAGGAGGAAGAAAAGGGGGAGAAGCATGGCTAACAGACTGGGGGGGGCACA